AGTACAGAGTAGTTACGACGAGGAGGCGGGGGGGGGGGGAGATAATACAACACTTGCCTATGATTCATTAAAGCAGCTGTACCTGCTTCCAGAATTGTGCAGCTACCTTAATAAGCTGCAGACACCAGTTACAATCACAGTCCAACATACTTCGAAGCACCTCTTCTGGTCTGAATTCAAAGTGTTTAAAAGTTCTAGTCACTATTATTGTGGATTTTTTTTTTCGCCATAAGAAGCACAGGAAGAGTTCTTACTATTTAAGTTGATAGGTTGTGGCTGGGAAACTGCTTGCTGAATGCATTTGGGCAGATGCTAAAGTCTGACCAGAGAAATTTATCTCACCCTTGAATAGTTAGCTTTGTATGATGTTCCAAGTGCTTTCTCTGTTCTTAGTGCATCTTTTTAAACACTATGTATATTGTTTTGTATAAAGCCTTAATATGTCTACTCTGGGAAGCCAGTTCAGATTCAAATTTCATTGGTGATTTTTGGCCAACCAATCTCAGAACTTTTAATGGCATAAAAGTGAAAGGAGGTCTCTGTTTATGCTGCTTTAAGGATAAAAATTCAATAACACATCTCAATCCATTTGAATAAGATAGCAAACCATGGTTTGTCAAGGACCTAGAAGTCATGATAGAAAGGTAGAATAGGAAGAAGGGTGTTTCTCATACGTGTGCCCCTTCCCGCTAATGAAAAAAGGGTTATAGCCCTGCTGATAGAACTGCCACAGTTCAGAGAAGAAGAAACAGTTTTACTGTGCAAGTGGATGCCTCCTTTGAGCAGTGTAGGGTTTCATCCTGTTTGATATTAACACCTGAACTTCTAACTTTCTTAAACTTAATTTTGCTTTTTAATTTTAATGAATGCAGCAGTGCTGTCATTCTTTCTAAGCTTTTTTTTTCTTCTGATGGTGGATATTAACATAAGTGTATAGAAACATCCTCAGGTATCTTTAACTTGCTAAGCTTTTCCTAAGATGTTAAATTTTTCTGTTTTTTTTTTTTAAATGTTCTCTGTCCTTATCTTCTTTTGGAGAAGATAAGCATCTTTTGATTAGCAACAGAGGGCAACAGATGTAGTCCTGAAAGAGAATTATCAATTGCTCCTTTTGGCAAGTCCACTATTTTTCTCTTGCACCATTTGCATTTTTAAATTCTGAACTTTGTCCTATTTTTAGGGATGCAGAAAAATTTACTTGAAGGCCTGTAGAGTTACAGAAAGCAACCTACAGTATAATATCAGGGGAGACAGATGCTTTGACTGTAGCTTTTGCCCGTGCGAAATACTGCTGCCATCTCATAATGCAGTCTTTCATTTTATGCTGCTTCATTAGTGCACTTACACTGCTGGTGAATTTTAGAACTAAAGAAAAGACATTTAAAATAACACCTGGGCCAAATTGCAAAATTGCTTGTATATGTGCTTTTTGAAGCAGAAGTCCTAAATTGCTTTAAAAACTTCTATGAGTGGAAAAAGACATGTGTTTTGATTTGATGCAAGAAGTAGAAATGGTTTATATGTATTCATTTTTGTCTCAGTGTATGGTGTGTATGTTTTTTTTTCCTCTTAGAAATTCCCATGCTAAATCCTTCAATTGCATTTTATATCCAGGGAACGTATGGAAGCTAGTTTGGTGATTCATTGAATGAAATAAGTGATAGAAATAAAGTAACATGTTACTCCGGTGAATCTTTGGGAGCTCACAGTCCCTAACATTGGGATTAGTCCCATTGTTTGACCAATACAGCAGTACTGTGTAGGAATTTTTTATATGTTATTTCAGCAGCATCAAAAAGTGTTGCTGTCTGAAGGTAGGACTTAAATCCTATTTGGATATTCTGCCTCTGGAGTAAGAGCGCCCTGGGTATTTTTCTCTTTAAAACTATTTAAAAATTGCTGGCTTCGGCTGAAACATATTAAGGCCAATGTTCAAAGGGACACAATTTTTCAAAAACCATTGAAAAATGTTTTAGTTCTAGAACATAGTGTTAGTAAGGTGGGATCCGGTGCTTTGGATCCAAAGCTGCGCAGGTGTATGGTAGCTGTATCATGTAATCAAGGACACAGCAGCAGTGCAACCCTGCCTGCTCAGAAGCATGTATTCATTCAGGGCTTATTCTCCTGGAATTACCAGGTGAGCCCAGGAAAAGGGACAGCTTCTTTAAGGAGCCATGGACAGATGCCACACACATCTCATACCCACTCTGAAACAGCTTTTTGGCTTTGGATCCAAAGTGCTGCTTGTGAGTAAGTAATTAATTAATTGTATTTGATTTATATTGCTGCCCATCTGGCTGCAGCGACGCTGGGCAGCTAAGTACAGATAAAAACACTGTACAAAATTACAACAGAAACCAACCAATACATAAAATAGGTAAACACAGTCCAGTAAAGTAAAACACCCTGCAGGCTCCAACTAACTTCCTGAACCCCATCCCTGTGAACACATCCAGGTCTTTAAAGCTTTTCAGAAAGGTAGCAGGGCTGGGGCCAGTCTAATCTCAGGGGCACGGTATTCCACAGGGCAGGTGCAGCAACAGAAAAGGCCCATTTTCTTGGCCCCCAAGATGGCATTCTTTAATTGATGGGACCCACAGCATGCCTGTTCCTTGAAGAGAAGCTGTGTGTCTAGGAAGATCCCCAAATTGTGCACTGGTTTTGTTTGGGGCAATGTAACCCTATCCAGAACTAAAGATGGAAAGTCACTGGATCTGGATGGCCCTAACCCGGAAAGCCACACAATCTTGCTAGAGTTGAGCTGAAATCTGTTCTTCCTGATCCAGGTCCCCACAGCCTCCAGACACCAAGAAAGCATCACATTGTGTTTTTGCATTTGTTTTATTTCCAAGAAAACAATCATTTGAGTTTTTTAGTTGTCTTATTATGTTTCCCTATTTTAAAGTTGTCATTTCTAGTTTTATCATTTTTGGACCCTGCTAACTTGAAAAAGAGAAAGGATGTTTTGCTAAAATTCCACCTCTGAAAGATTGTGTGTTAGATAGCAGGGGACCCCAGTCGTCTTGGTTGTTGGATATATCTGGCAATTTGACAACACGATGAGGACTCTCTTAGAGAGAGCTTCTTCATTCACAAAATGGCTGTCGTAGCAGGATGGCTACTTAAAAAACAAAACAGCTGGAGTGAGGGGAGAGGATGGATGGTACTATGGGAGATATTTGTAAATATGGTGGTTCCTACAGGCAAAGGGGACCACCTTCTTGTACTTGACGTTTACTGTATATTGTGGAAACATTGTATGTACTCATAGGGATTCTTAGGTGACTTAAGAGACATTCTATCTTGTGTTTCAGCTGCTGCCTTTTTTGTCACTTACGAATATACAAAAGCTGTCCTCCACACAGATGCATCTCCATATTTAGCTCCAATTATTCACATGTTGGCTGCCTCCTTTGGAGAAGTAGTAAGTAGAAGTTTATCTTTAGTGATATATGACTAGACAAGCCCATTGTTGTGATTTTTCCTACCTGCTGGAGTAACAGGGTAGGAGTATATAAGACAATAAAATGATTATGTAATGTTATAAAAATAATTAAAGCATATACTCATGATAGTATATAGTGTATTTAGCAGTTACATCAATGACAGTCTCAGACACTGTAGCCTCAGAGCCATATGACATCCCAATGCCAGGTAGAGCAGATAAGATTGTAGAAGATAACTAAAATTCAACAGCATCATGGTCAACTGTATCTCCTAGAAGAAGGATCCATAATTGTGGTTCTGCTATGAAATGGCCTTGTCTTATATCACTACTTCACAAGGCACAACAGCAATAATAAAACATGGATTCATCAATACTGATACATATATACCAGTATCAGTGAAAAAAGACCTTTACAGAATTGGCGTTGCATGGTCATAAAACTAAGCAACTACATTCTTCTTAAGAGGCAAGATCGGTTTGTTTTTAAGAGTAGTTTGTTCATTGCAATAGTCCATCTCTGAAGCTATTAGAATATGGATAAATCAATCTACACAATTCCAGTTGTGATTGGTTGATGGCTGGTTGATAGCTTAGTTCAGTGTTTTTCAACCTAAGCAACATTAAGATGTGTGGACCAGCTCCCACAATTCCTCAGCCAGCATGCTGGCTGAGGAATTGTGGGAATTGCAGTCCATGCATGTTAAAGTTGTTGAGGTTGAAAAACATTAGCCTAGTTGAAAATGTGCAATGCTCCTTCTTGTTACTAAGACTACCTATACTTCAGGAAATAACTTTGTACTGAAGAGAGCCATGTGGACCTGTTTCTTCCCACAAGTGAGCATCTGCCAGGAAGAGACCACCTACCCACAGTATTTCTGACTTCAGCTTATTGGGCATCACTACTACCTCCAGACACTTGCCTGGCCATTTAGATAGAATAGACAAATGGTGGATGAGTTCTAATTTTTCTTCCCTAACTTACTGGTTGCAAATAGCTGAGCAGGAATCTGGATCCATGGTGTGCTGGTCTCAGAGCTGGCACAAGTGAGTGAGAATTTCTCTCTCTTGTTTCCTTCTCTCCTGCCAAATGCTATTGAACTATCTTTGATTCTCCTTTGTGTCCCAAATTGCACACAAAAGGGTAAAAATTGTAATTATAGCTTTATTGATTAGTCATTAGGCTTTAATCAAGCCACAACCACAGGGAAAGACTATTATTTGGTAAGCAGGCCTTAACTTTCAGCATTCCTTTCCCTCCCAACACTTTAATTGTGGGGCTATAACAAATGGCTGGTATATAGATATGCAGTAATAAGATGCAGGCACAAGCTAAGATTCCTGTGAAATTGCTGACTTGTGTTCTCATAATGTCTTCTTCATTGCAAAATCATGGCCCTACTCTATAGATTGTTCTGACTGAGCTGGATAGCAAGGTCTTTTATTGGCAGTTCCTTGTGAATTCTCATTAGGAGAGAGCTGACTTCTATCTTGTGGCTTGCTCTTGGAGAAGCCAGGCAATTGTGATGCTCTCTCTTTTAAGGAGGAACCATAACTGAGTAGCCCAGAGCATGCTTTCCCTACAGAAGGTCCCAGATTGCTTGGGACCTGCCTGAAACCCAGAGCACCACTATGGTCACTATAGACGGTACAAGTGGTTTAACTCTTTCATTCACAATAGAGCTTGTTTGGTTTTGGATTACCGTGTTGTATGAACCCAGGTGCCTGGGTTTTTTGATTCAGCATGTTACGAGAGTCTAAAAAGTTGAGGTCTATTAAATAATTATTAAACAAACTATAGCTTGAACATTGCATCAGTCAAGCAATTTACCTGGCTTGAACAAGATACTAAGCTTTAAAGTATGGTTTACAAACCATAATGGCTAGATTCACATGGTGCTCCAAGCCATAATATAGCTTGTTTGAACATTGTATGAATTAGGCAGCCCAAAGCAGATGTCTCTGATCCAATATACAGTATAACAAAGGGACTGATATGACATGAGCAGTGGCTCTTGAATGAATCACATTAGGTTCTGAAATATTCATAAACTTTGGGGATTGTTCATGTTACAAAGATGCTAGGATTCTGCCAAGCTCCTGTGCAAGAGAGCAATTGACACTTTGTTAAAAGTGCTGGAGAAAAAATGAGATTCTGCCATTAGAACCTGGTGGAGAAAAAGAAGGACAGTTATACTGGGAGGAAACTCAAATGACAACTGCAGCTGGAAATTGCTTGTAAATAAAGATGAATGGAAGCAGAGAGTTACAGGCAATGCCAGCCGATTCATCACACAATTAAAGGCCTAAACCAGTGAATTAAGAACTGTCATCTATCTAAGCAGCTGCCTACATGGTTTTCATGGGAATCATATTCAGGCACGTTCCCTTCCTGTTTTTCCTACCCATATTGCTTCAGTTTATAGGATTTACTATATGTCTTTGGATGTTGTTCCCTCCTAATCCTTAAACCCCATGACTTTTTTTTTTAAAGCGACAAACAGGATATTAGTGATATCATTTGCACAACATGACCTCTTGTGTTGTTAACAAAACTTTCACCAAAAGTTACCATAATTCCGGCAACAAGGATGGGTATTGTGTATGCCATATTAAATCATTATTATTTCAGCCTTAAAAATTTGTCACAAACTGACTAGTGACTACCAAAAAGGTGGTCTGCAGGATAAGATTTGAAAGCAGACAAAAATGCAGGAAGTTCATGATGTTTTACTTTGAGGAGCCTCCTTAAGGTAATAAAGTGTTTTTCCAGAATAATAAAAAAAAAGGAAGCCTATATTGTTCACAGCAATGGTTGTTGAACTGTATGACTCCTGTCCTTATATTGGGAAGGAACTTAATGTTGTGGTCTAACTGCAAGACTCTCCTCCCCTGTCCTGAATTATTAGAGCATGTGCAAAATGCCTAAACCACCAAGTCTATGCATATTTGAGAACAAAGAAGACAAACAGCTGTATGTCCATCATGAAATTAATGGCTACATCATTGCAGTAATGGGAATTGGAGAGAAGCAGTGAAAAAGTTTAATGTAGAGGCTACCCAGTATGTCTTCCTTTTTTCTATATGCTCCCACACCAGAGAGTTTTCTGATCTTCCTTGGTCTGAGTCTCATGCTTGAGGCCTCAAGACCACTTCTCCTTAAGGGGAGCTTATGTAGCTAATGCAACACCCAAAGTTTAATCTCTCTGGTATTTGAGGATGGGTCTTTTGAGAACTGCTGTGCTTGAGTGATTCATTCCCTAGCCGTGATATTTAAGGTTGACTCTGTTTGTTTGTTTGTCTTCTCAGGCCCCAGGTAGCTAGTCATCCCTTTGCTTTGATTATTTGGCCTTCCCATTTTATAGATGTGGAACAGAGAGTTAGAAGCAGGAAGCTCCTGGGTCCAAGCATGGTGGATGTTTTCTTTAATATTCTGCTCCTCTTGAAGAGCACTTCAGAATATGTTATTTCAACGTAATCCTTGTTGTGCTGCAGAATCTCCCTGGTTTTGTGGAGCTGGATGTCCCATTGATGCTACATGGACATGTAACAGCAACTGGATTGCAACAGTTCTCAAGAAGTACTTCTTTTGGATATCATTAGTTCTCATGGATTCTTTGTCATCCAATGGATGGCCACTTAGCCCCAAACTAAATGCAGCATGACCAGGATAGTTAAATATCCAGGATATATTTTTAAAAGTACCAATAGTAGGCATGGATATATATTTGTAGACTACTTTGAGATTGTAATCCTGGTTTGGTAGTAGATTTCAGCTCTTTGCCCCTTTCCCTGCTGTAGCTGTGACCTAGGTCATTATTCCCTCCCTTACAATTAATGTTTTCAGGATTTATTTTTTATTATTGGCCTTTTAGTTTAACTCTGAGAAGAGCTATTGTAGTATGATCACCAGCCACCTTTATCCAGGTGCTCCAAAACTGTTGGGACCATAACGCTCAGAATTGCCAAGCTAGCTTTAATGCCAGTGAGACTAATATGACTACAGTTTATATCTATTTTATTTGTTAGTTATATATGCCTTTCTTCTGGGACTTCAAGTCCCTGTATCTCACCCTCCCTCCTCCAAGTTTATTCCCATAATGATAACCCTGTGAAATGTGTTGGACTAAGTTACCCAGTGGACTTCCGTGGCTGCAAAGAGACCCAAATCTGAGTCTTTCTTGTCCTACAGAAAGGCTGCAACTTCTACAACATACCAGCTTATTACTTCAAGGGGAAGGATTGCTTCACCCTGGCAATGTCAGGACACAGAACGCACATTTTTGTCTGGGTCATAAAGCAGCAGCTTCATAGTTAGCTTTCACAACATGCTTTCTGATCACACCTCAGTCTGTCTCCTCTGATTAGGTGATGAGTTGATGTGATAAAAAAGAGTGACTGATGATATTGGCCTGTGATAACAAGTTCACGCCAAGCAAGTTAAATGATGAAATTTTACTGATGAAAACTGTGTTTTTGAGGCATACCTGTTTTGAAAAATTCTTGGGGATTTTTTTGGTAGAGGGTCTAATCTTCTGAGTGCTAAAAGAAAGGTTTATAACCTAAAGCTCAAGGTGAAATGTGCTTCACCAAATCAGATAGCAGAAATTATTGAAGGGATGAGGAGTAAACATATTATCCATATTTAAGATATTGTTGTAAACTATCATATTTTGGAATTCAGAAGTTAAGGGACTTCGTGGCTGATAACATAGCAGTGTTGAATTTTCTGTCCTTTTATCTATTTGGGGGTGATTTGTAGGAGATTTAAAGGGCAAAACAGATGCTTTAAGGCCCTGTGAATGCTTAACAGGCTTATTTTGTCTCTTATTTCTATAAAAAGCCACATTGCTGAAAATAGATAGTTTTTCTGCTGAATGTTTGGCAGCTTAGTTTAGGAGGTGCTTGGGCCAAATGGGGTTGGGGATTACATGCGGTCTCTGTGGCTTTCTGTTATTAGAATTTAGATTCATTTCATT